CCTTGTAAGTCAAGGTTGCGGGTGTTTTTGGCACTCTGCCCAAAAACATTGCCAACCCCTGGGTTAATCCATGCCCTGAATTTCACTGTCAGGCCCTCTCCTGCTGCACTAGATTCAGTCTATGGAGTCATATCATATGGCTCATGGGACTTAAGCAGGCCCCTAGTCCTGAATTTCGAGACCCCGCTTAAGTCCCATGGGCCATATGACATGACTCCATGAACTGAATCTAGTCCATAGGCCATAAATTTGACATCCCTGAGTTAAAGTTTCACCCTGCATGAGCAAATATCCATGTAGTTTTAGACTGTGTCTTGTATTTGAAATCACAAGGATTAGTTATATAATATTCTTCATAGAACTGTAGGGATGGAAGGGACCTCAAAGGTCATCAAGTCCAACCCCCTTCACTCATGGCTCAATTAGCTTCTTTATGTGATAGCCATAACTTGCTCACAAATTAACCCATATTCTGTCCCCAGTAGTTTAATGTTTCCTTAAAAAATAAGTAATATTGATCTCCCTGTGAGAAAACCTGTCCCCTACATGGGACTTTATTCTAATGTGCAGCATGGTTATGGGTCCATCATATGAATTCCCAGTGCCTATAGAACATTTATCTAACAAAACAGCATTTGAAATAGCATCACCTCTTCTAGGAAGTTAAATGAGATTTCTGCTTTGATGGTCATTCCCCCACATTATGGTACACTGAAATAGTGGCATAGGTTCCTTACCATGGCTTTCTCTCTAAGGTTATCTCAGATCTTGCCTTCTAACAATTGTCTCTCTCTCCTCATACTTTGTGCTAACATAGGTAAGTCTCATTTGCATGTGTTCAATGATGAATGAGCATTTGTTATTATTTAGAAAGAAAAAGGTTCAAAAATAACATTGTTTATGACTTATGGGGAGACAGGTAGAAAGAAACCTATAAATAATCACACTGTTTCCTACTGAATTATGAAATGTATTCATCATTGCTAGTACTAATCAGGAAAAAAGTTCCCATAGGGTAAAAGGCTTACTCGCTAGGGCCACAGCTACTTTGCTTGCCTGTTTATTCCTAGTTCCCATACTAGAAATTTGCAGCACATTCAGTTCATTCTGTACTTTTTCTAAGCACTGCTTCTTGGGCTTAATATTACATTCTGATACAAGATCCTGTAGAGCATTGTTAAAGTCCTTTTTTAGCTAGAGCTCCTCAACCACTATCCTTTGATGGGAACACATTGCTAATCTATTATTATTAAGAATGCAGAGAGGTCATTGAACATGAGGAGAGGTTACTTACTAGTAGTGTTCCATATTTTCCATTTTTACCAAATTTCGCTGATAAATTGCCCGATTTTTTTATTGAAGTTATTCATTTTTTACAGATTTACACCCACTTTTCACCCCCCCATGCCTCTTGAGACCTGTGCAGCATGGGAAGTGCCACCTGCTCCCCACACCCCCCAGACAAGCCACAGCTCTGTCCCATGCCCCACCCCAGTTGGGCAGCAGTAGGCACAGCAGGCATAGGGGTCCCAAGGTCTCTGTACCCTCTGTCTCAGTGGTGCAGCCAAGGCTGTCCCTGCCCCAGCTCCTCCCCCCCCACACTCTGAGTCCCCAGGTGCTGTGCAGGGCGGGGGTCAGGGCCAGTGCAGGGAGGCAGCCAGGGCTAGTGCTGGGCTGGGGGTTGGCAGATTCACCTCCTCCCAAGCTCCACCTCATAGACTTTCCTGCCCAGGGGGGCACACACATGCATGTGCTCACGTGCTCAACCCCCCCCCCCCAAATTTATTATTTTCCCCAATTTAAACAATGTTTTCCCTTTCTTCCATTTATCCTGATTTCAACCTGTTTTTTCTGTTTGGAAGATAAACCCCAAAAAATTCCCGGAATTTTTTTTAAAAATAAAAACTGAAAATGAGGAACACTACTTCCTAGTAACTGTTTCTCTTCAAGGCCTGTATATTTACATGACACACCCACCTTCTCCTCTGCCTAACAGTTTTGTATTTCACAATTCTGCAGAATTGGAAGAAAGAACACAGATGGGCTAGGGCAGGAGCCCTTGTTTGTATAGATTGGTGGGTTTCAACCTCTTTAGAAGGAAGGCACCCCTCAATAGATGCAAGGTGCCCCTTGGAAAATGCCAGCTCTTTGTTTTCACTTGATTTTTGATCATAGGAAAATTAACAGCAATTCTGTTGGGAAAACTCAGAAATCCCACAACTGGTCAAATGTTTTTAACGCCATGGATTCCTACTTAAAAACTCTGGGTTTATCTTGCAAGTCATGTTTGCACACCTAACAGTGTTAACATTGCAAGCACCCTGCAGCACCATTGATTGAGAACAAATGATACAGATGGACCTGAAGATGTTATCCAAGTTATGAGGGTGTTACCATATCCCCAGTGGACATACCTTTTCTGTAGATTTCCACAGCAAAATGCCAAATGCTTTAAATGTATTATTATGAATGCACAGCAGGAAAGAAAAACAGTTATTAGTAACATTTCTTTATGTTCAGTTTTATTTTTGACCATAAATATGTTTTGATTTTTTTCAGATACAATTAATTTATTAGAGTGTGTTCCAACAATGTTTCCAGACCACATTTCACCTCTTTATTTGAATCTCTTCCTGACTTTGGCATACATAATATGGAAGGTGGAATAATAGCATATTATTTTGTGCTTGTTTTGTGTATAGCAAATATTTGTTTGAAAATATCATATTTACTTAAATATAAGATGAAAGATTTCTTTTCCCTACAATCAGCATGAAGCAAAAGACTGTTGTTTTATAGTTACATACAAGGAAACCTCATTAAATACACTATCTATCATTAAAGAGGTACCAAAAGTAGCATATACTTAGCAACAGAAACTAAGAATTTGATTAAATAAAGCCAGTACTAAGTATGACTGCCCTATAACAGGAAAAGATAGATTAATGCAGCCTACCTAAATAAGACACATAGTAATGCTCATTACACGACATTTCCCTTAGCACTGATGCTTTTTAAAGTCATGGTGAGTCACTACGTTGAATACATTTCAACTTCCTCTTCATTCCCACAGCTAAGCTGTGCCTTTCTTCCCCATTTCCAATGATTCCTGTTTCTTCACCAACCTTAAATCTCTGGCAAATATCACCAAATGGGACTCTAAACAGTTCACCCAGGATCTTTCTTTCACCTCCTCTCTCATCCTGTTGCATATGATTAGTATGGCCCCAATCCCCATGAGGTGGATCTGGACCAGGTGTCCCTGCATCTGATCTGCATATAAATTTTTCAAGGATCCCAGGACTCATGACATGAATACCCAGTTCTAGTCATGAGTGGAGAGTTAAATTGCATATGGATCTTTTGTGGGGGTATCTGGAGAACAAACACATACTAAGCAGTGCTGGGATCAGCATGGCCTGAAATGCTGTTGATTCTGCTGGGGCCCAGCACAATGAACTAGATGGTGAGTTATGAGTTTTTTGGCTTCAGAGTAATACCATACAAAGCTTATATTATATATGTAAGTAGGAACAAAGTGCTATTTAATAGTGTGTTTATGGAGTATTTGTGCTAGAATTTGTGGCAGTTTCAAAAATGGTAAAATACCTCAATTCTGGATGAACTAAGTCTATGAATACCTGTAGTAATTTACCTATATGAAAACTCCTACAGGCATGTTTATTTCAATGTCATTGTTTTCAAATTTGTTTCTCACTTCCATGTGCTCAAGGAGAGTAAGGTCTGCCAGTAATGGGGTGAGCGAGAAGAGGTTGTAGGGGAAAGAAGTTGCAAGGGGGCCATCTGACTTCCCCCAGATTTATTTCCCTTCCTATTGCACCAGAAGGGGACAAATTCAAGCCAGACCTCCAATAATTACATTCCATACCTCAAAGTATAACAAATTTATAAATTTTCCATATATAGATTCTAATTATTGGGGGAGTTATCTTCTGTTCAGTCATCTTATATTCAGATAAATGTAGTACTTGTCTTATTTTTCAAAAATGCTAGCATTTTTTACTAACTGTCTACCTCCCTACCCTCCCATTCCCCACATTTCCACAGGTTTAAAGGTCTATGCAATGTACAGGGTAACAGAGAATGAGATCAATTTATTGTAGTGTATTACATGTGGTAATTGCTCCCAAATGAAGGAATTTTGGAGGAGACTTTATAACTGGAGGAATTTTGCAAAACCAATAGATAAATATTTTTCAAGTATGATCCATTTTGAATTACAATGGAGAACACAAACTAGTTTTTCTAGTATTATTAAAACCAGGAAGGAACAGAGACAAAAAGCATTTATGAAATGTCATAAAGTCATAAAATTGAAAGCATGAGACTGAAAGCAAAGAGGAAATTCAGCTGTAAGTACTGAGAAATCTCAAATAGGCAAGATAGAATCTTTCTTTCTTTTCTGTTTTTCCAGAATGCTTGTCTTTTAAAAGAAGCCTACAGTTGTTTTTTGTTGTTGGTTTTTTTGCTTCCCCCTATAAACATTTACTTCATTGTAATAGTTCTCAGAATGGCAAGAATTGTCAAATGAAATGAATAAAACGATTGCTAAGCAAATGGGCACAAGCTCACAAACAGGCTAATTGTTGCATTAGAATGTATCTGTTGTCAACCTTCACAGGTTGTCTTGCAGTTGCAGTTCCATTGACCCCAATGGTACTTACTGAGAGATTTTTTTTGGGACCAGACCAGTATTGCACAGGCAGCATTAGGGAATAATGAGCTGCATTCTTGGGGTTAGTGAGGAGTCAGCACAAATTGTGGGAACAAATAACAATCAGACAAGGCAATGTTTTATAACATTGGGGATGCAATCCATCTTTGGGATCTTTCAAAGCTGGGCTAATAAAGGCCCACTTACAATCCCCAGCAGAGTACAGTTTAATTAAATTTGTCCATTAGAGGACTTCTTCCCCTCCCTTTTACATTCTAGAAATTAATTCTTCTGCTTTCTGCCTGTCTTCCTTTCTACATCACAGATGCACTGAACCTTCGTAACCGACAGGTCATCTGCATCACGCTGAAAGTCCTCCAGCACCTGGTTATGTCAGCTGACTCAGTGGGGGAGGCCTTGGTGCCCTATTATCGTCAAATTCTCCCAGTCCTAAACATCTTTAAGAATATGAATGGTGAGTTATCCTAGCAGTCACTGTGTCTTTCAACCCCTAAGGCAAAAAAGGGCTTGAGGCAGGGTTAATTAACAATGTAGTTAGGATTTATTACTGCATATAAACCCAAATCCATTTGGAGCTCTAAATAATGTAGCCCCCCTGCTATTCCCTAAGGATGCAGTAAAATTAACAATTTCATTTATTACTCCTTGCACGTACGGCTTATTTAACACAGTACAGAAGCACTGAAGCAGTTCTATAATCTTCCAATAATTAAATTGTAAAGTTTTGTAACAGTCTCCTGAATACATTAATAAATTGTAAAGGTTTTTTTTTCTTTTCAACATGTAAGTTATAAGTCCATTTTCTGATTCTGTTCTTTAAGTTTTGTGCCAATAAAGTTCATTCCATCTGTTATTGGTCTAGGAGACAATAACAAGAAAATTATTAATTGTTGTATTCAATTTGATGTACAAGAGATCTCCTTGTTATTCCAAATGCTGAAGTTAAAATATCAGTAGCAAAGCAGCACAATTTGGAGTTATTGTGGAGAAATTTAGAATCACCTCATACTGCACATTTGAAAGTTGTTTTGTTTTGTAGTGCAAAATTCTATTGTAGTTATAGTTTTTAAGAAAAATACAGCACTGCCAGGAGTATTATTACAACATTTTCATACACATGGGCCTGGCTGTATGTCCTTTCTTCAAACTGCTTTCTAATCATCTTTTTCCTGTAGTAAATGTCTAGGCATATTATCTGATCAACCACCTGCTAAGTTATTGACTTAGACTTTGAAGTTTTATGCTATTCACACACAGTCCTATAGATTAAAATAAGTTAATTCCTGACAACCATGCAAATAAGTCTTATAATACTAGCAGAATGTCCAGGACACTCACTGCATTTCAGCAGCTATCTAGTGGGTTACCTCCTGTTAAACTATATTTTTGCATTATACTTATTTCTACATTTGTTTGAAACATGCGGAAATGTCTGTCCCAAATTTCTAACTTGGAGAATCTAATGAAATTTAGTAGGGCTGTCATTTAGTAGTAATCAGTAGCTGATTCAATTTAAAGAAGAATCTCGGAATCCGAATTGAATCAGGAGACCAGGTAAAAGCTCCAAATCGATTCAAAGCATCTGAATTGATTCGGAAAAGCTTTGGGAAAAGATTTGGCCAATTCAGAGATTTGGCCATAAACTAAACTAGCAGCTGACAGCTGCCTCCCATTGGTAAGTCCATTGGGGTTTGGGGAGGGAAGGGGAATGGGGGAGGGAGGGATTGGGGCTGGGGCTGGGGCAAGCTGCC